TGGGGCACCTTCGACGAGTGTTGGAGACGCTCCGCCGCGCCAAGTACAAGGCCAACCGCGACAAGTGTGAATTTGCCCGGCAGGAGCTGGAATACCTGGGCCATTTTGTCACATTGGAGGGCATCAGTCCGCTATCGGACAAGATTCAGGCCGTCCAGGAGTGGCTGGAGCCTCGGAACGTCACGGAAGTTCGCTCGTTCCTTGGTCTTACCGGCTACTATCAGCGTTTCATCGAAGGCTACTCCAAGATCGCGGCCCACTTGAACAAGCTTCAGTGCGAGGATCGTCCGTTTGATTTTGGAGAGGAGGCGCGGGGATCATTCCTCGCTCTCAAAGCCGCGCTATTGTCTGCGGAGGTCTTGCGAATCTACGACCCGCTCGCACCTACGCGTGTCACTACGGATGCGTCAGGATATGGCATTGGTGCAGTCCTCGAGCAACATGATGGTGTGGACTGGCACCCGGTCGAGTACTTCAGCAAGAAAGTGCCCCTCGTGCATTCCATCGACGATGCACGCAAGAAGGAGTTCCTCGCCTTCATCCACGCGCTCAAGCGGTGGCGGCACTTCCTCCTTGGTCGAAGCCAATTTCGCTGGGTAACGGACAACAATCCGTTGGTCTTCTACAAGACCCAGGACACCGTCAACAGCACCATCGCTCGATGAATGGCTTTCATCGACCAGTTCGACTTCTTTCCCGATCACATTCCCGGGAAGTCGAACCGTTTTACGGATGCTCTTTCACGGCGTCCGGATCATTGTACCGTGGTCTACTCAACTTTCGAGATTGACGACGACCTGCGGAACAGCTTCATCCGCGGCTACCAAGCCGACCCCGAGTTTCGCAACAAGTACGCGAATTGCTCCTCGCCTAATCCGTCTCCTTCTCACTACCGGATCCAGGAGGGGTACTTGCTTATCCACACGCGGGGGAAGGACCTTCTTTGCGTACCAAGTGATCCTCACTTGCGTACACGGCTTCTTGGCGAGTTCCACGATGCTCCCGCCACTGGACACTTCGGGGTCAATCGCACGATTGGCCGACTKYGSCAGCGATTTTGGTGGCCTGGCCTTCTCAGCGAYGTCACGCGCTATTGCGAGTCTTGCGAGGTTTGCCGACGCTGCAAATCCCGCAACCATCGTCCGTACGGCGAGCTACGACCATTGCTGGTCCCGTTGMGGCGAAGGGAAGCGATTGCCATGGACATTACCGGCCCGTTCCCCAAGCACAAGACCGGAGTGGA